GTGCTAAAATCAATTAGTACAGCTACACCTCTGGCTGTCAGCAGGATTCTGTGCTTTCAAGTAAACATCAGACCTGGCTCACAGATGTGTCATCATTACCACCAGATGCAGCTTTATCAAACAATCAGAAAATAATTCTGTGTGGATGCCTGTGGGGAGAGACTACAAAACTTCCCCTCCTAAGAACAACATAAAACTATACATATATAAAACAATCACACCATGTGTGATTGTTTAACCATTCTGTATGGTTAAGCCTTGATGTCAGCCTAGGACTCTTCTACCCCTCCAAAAGACAAGAAAGTATCTTATTCACCTGCACCAGGTAGCCCTGAAATTATGCAAAACATTCAGGATTACAGTGCCATTTGCTTGAGACCTCAACAGTTTAACATAACTTATGGAGAACTAGGCATGTTTATAAAACACCATGTGAGAGTCTTTGGTTGGGGAAATCCACAATCCAAACAAAAAACTGAAAATCTCATGTAAATGTCCTAATAGCTGTGTAGTAACTCCTACTCTTTGAATATTTTTGGTTGCTCTGCCATTTCTATTTAGAATACCCCCCCAAGTTGAGACTGACAGCACCCACCAGCAGCTGTGCATCCAGGAGGTCGTGGAGCTCCAGCTGCTGGTACACCTTCAGCCGGTACTCATCCATTTGCTCCTTCTTCTTCTTGGCAAGATCATAATCCTCCTTCTCCACCGCGTAGCGCTTCTCCACCTCGTACCGGCCCAGCCGCTCCCCCACCTGCAATCGGCACAACGAGACACCTTGGAATCACCTTACTGCACATTTCTTGGACTCATCTTACTGCACTTATGTATATATTCCACTGTTTCCTGCCAAACTGTTCAATCAAGCTATCTGAATTTAAAATTATTACTTTGGATATACACTGGAAATCGTTACGGTTCCACACCAGCAGCAGGGCCCTGCTGGGCCACTGGAACACAGCTCCACTTAGGAGACAAAAGATCTCTCATCAACACCTTCTGCAGGTCTGCAATGGCCTGTTTGAGTTTCTTGGCGTGGTCGTAGCGCTCGTGCCGGACAGCTTCCCGCTTCCTCTCATCCAGCCTACGGATTATCTGAGCCACTTCCGGGTCCTGGTACATGTCAAAAGCCAAATCATCCAGAGGGGAAATGGAGTCAGATTTCCTGAAGTCATAAAATGAATAAAATAACCCACAATAAGCCAGGCTGAGGGAATGGCTTCTCTTTCCACTAGCAGGGAATCAACAAAACACAGAGACCAACAACTACTTTAGACTGAGTAGAGGTTTTCCCAGAGTATATGCAAAGAACATCCTTACCCAAGGTAAGTTCCATCTAAGGCAGGATCATCTGATTTAATTCCCAAGTAATGGTCTATCAACTTCTCTCTGGAAGGCTTTGGAAGGAGGCAAAAAAAATCTTAATGCACATTCACCAACATCAGGTGTGTGTTCAGGACAGAAGTTCTCACTTGCCACAATGAACAGCAGTTCTGCAACTCAGAATATTTATGTTTTGAGACATACTGAAACAAGAGAATTTGGAGAGGCTAAAAATGAGATTGTTTCAACTGATTATGTTTTAGTTTTTGTATCCTGTATTTGACTCAATTTTCTCTTGTTTCAAGAGAATATTAAAAATAAATCAATACATGGCACCTCTGCCAGAAGAAAGATACATCCCACTGCCCCAGGAACCTGCACCTGAACAGGTGGAGCAGCACCTGAGCAAGAGGACAGGGATGCTTTGCACTTACACTGCTCATGCTGTCATTGCTGTAGTCTGCTGGATCCCCAATGATGTTCACAGCTACCAGGGCAACCTGCAGAGATCCACAGAAAATGGAAATGCATAAACCTGGTCGTGATTCCAAGTCACTTCTAACCTGTTATTTGTACCTTCTGTTTTAAAACAAGCCAAAATAAATCCAGGAGCTTTCAACCAACATTTCTGGTTTCTACAGATCAAAGCAGCAGATTTCTGTGCTTGTTCTGCACTAGGGAAGTATCGCTTGTATTACCAGGTAAAGACTCTTAACTCACCTGTCCGTATATGTTGTATTTATTGACGTAATTTTTATGGAAAATCAGCTTCAGGTACTGGCCAACTGCATCCACATACACAGATTTTAACTCCCGTGCTTTGAAGTCAGTCTTCTCATTGTCTGAGAGGGGGACGTACCTGGGAAGGAAAACGTAACAGGTGAGCAGAGGACACGTCCAGACACACAGGTGGTGCTGCCCCTCGGGGTAGGACCTGGTAAGGTTTAAAACTCCCCATAACTGAGGCAACATCTGCAAGGCTGTTCATCTGCAGGTGCCTCTTACACCTGCATCTTCAGCTCTGTCACAGATCCACACGAGTCCAGGGTCTCTCTGCTGCTTTTACAGCATGCCCACACCTCTGGCAACCCATAAGGAGTATTATTTTCCTCTGAAAGTTTTCTGATTAAGACAATAAACCCACTCGGAGCTTTCTGACTCACCCTAGTCTCTGAAACCTCTCTGACTGATATGGAGAGAAGTATTCAGGCAAACTTTCACTGATGTAGAACTCAATTTTGCTGGAAATCATGTACTGGTGAGCAAGCAGCTGCAGCTTCCGTATCCGACACCTCTCCACCAACTGCAGGATGATCTCCTGGGGATACTGACAGAGCCTGGAACAGACAGTTTCTAAATGAAATCATGCTTTTATAGAGGACTTCACTTCCAACTTGAGCAACATTCAATTATGAAACTTTCACATTATTTATTGTTTAAACAAACATTACAAATATTGTAAAAAGAACCCCAAAAGCAGAGTGGAAACACTTTTCCCTTGCCTTTACTGCACATATGTGTATGTTCAAGTGCCCCACACCTGTCCAGAGGACGTGCTGAGACAGCCAGATTTTTCACACTAAGCCAAAGCAGTTGCAAGCTCCAAGTCTGCCAAGAACAAAAGCGCTTTTCCCTTTTCCAGGACATTATTTAAATGCAACGTGGTGCCTTTAGGTGGCAACCAAGGTGCTTTTTTTCCCCCTCAGGATGAGGATTCCATGGGACTAAAGTAACTTTTTTGTTCCATCAGCTTGGTCTGGGGTCCTGCAGACCACTCTTGGCCATGCCTGGCAGAGCTCCCACTCGTCTTAAACTCGGTTCTTCAGCACATCAGAGCTTCAGGACCACGCACAGGCAGTACCTGGGTGAGCGCCACCCGTTCACCGTGGGTGCGTGAACCATCAGCTCCCGGGCGCTGAACCCGTCCTCGTGTCCCGACGAGCTGACCACGGTGAAACCGATCTTGTGCGGCATCCTGAGGAGCTGAGCTGGTCACAGCCACGGCCTTCAAGCTTAAACTCATCCCTGGAAGGACGATAAAAGACCGCTGAGACACTACAGTCAAAGAATTAAATCCTGTGGTCTCGTCAAGTCAGTAGATGATGACCACAAATCTAAGCTTTCTTTAATTATTACTGGCACGATAAAGCACACCATGTTCTTGTGGTGTGGGCTTGATTACTGCTGAGCAAAATGAGGGTTTAGCTCACTTGCAGAGTAGTTTCCCAATAGTAGTTTGCTGAGCCAAGATGGAGCTTGAAACTAAGAGTTCCAAACACACACAGGAGCGACCTGTACCATCCTCTGTGTGCTCCAGCCAGAGGAACAGACAAAAAACGAAGCGCAGGGTCAGTTTAGCCCCTTTTCCCAGCCGCGGGGACGGCACAGGGTGGGGGCACAGGACAA